GATGTTATGTTTTATGTTTAAACCACCTACCAACTTGACATTTTCTTGATATGAGGTATGAGATGTTTGTCTACACTTAGGTCCTGCCAAACTGTTTTCTAGCTTTCCTGGCAATTTTTTTTTTCAAACAGTGGGTTACTAGATTCCTATATGATTTAGTAACATTAGATTACTATGGTCATCTATTACCCTTTGATGTGTACCTAATCTATTCCACTAATCTCCCAATCTATTTATTTTTATAATTAATTTTTATATTTCTAAAATTTAAATACACAATGAGAAAAAAACATGTAAATTAAATATTAAAACAGATACAAAATAAGAAAAGAGAAAAAATGTCATGTGCACAACAAAACATAAGAGAGGACTGAAAATATATAGCAATAAATTTCCATTTCAAGAAAGCCTATGTAATAAATACTCTACATTGTGTTGAGAGCCATCCATCTTTTTTTTGCTTCCTTTTAAGTTTTATTTTGTTCTGTGCTGTGCACTTTTTACTTTATTCTCTATTCCTCCTTCCTCCCCTCCCCCCGAAAGCTACAAGTAAATGTGGAGAGATACACATGTGTATACATATACACACATATACATACGTACACATACATACACACATGAAAATATGCTTTCCCTAACAAATTCTACTCCTGATTTTTGCTTTATGTTTGTGTATGTCTCTTATTTCCTATCGCTCCTGACTCCTTTACTTCTATTATACTAGATAATCTTGACCTCCTATTACTTAACCTACCACGTCTCCAAGGATCCCTTCCATATCTTCCCATTCCACAAATCTAAACTCCATTGTGTACTGCCCTTTGACCTATTTCCTCACCCTCCCATCTAGAGGGATCCTTACTTTTTTCTCTCCACCTCCCCTTTCCCTTTTCATTTTATTTCTTTTGGAATTTAGAAGGCTTTTATACTCTTCTAGTTTTATGTATGTATTGTTCCTTCTTGAACACATTCCTGATGAAAGCAGGTTTTCAGAATTGACAGCCCTACTCTTCCATGTAATTACTCTGTGTTGTTTTTTCCTCTCTCACTTCATTTGTATAAGGTAGTTCCTCATTTTAGCTGTTCCTAAACAGTTTTAATTTTCAAAGTCATATTATACTCAGGTCTACCCTAATCTTTCTTATGAACTAATCAAGCACTAATGGCAATCTTAGACATGCATCATACATACATAAAAGGTAAACAGTCTGTCCTTATTGAGTCCCTTGTAATTAGTCTTTGGCATATACCTTATATTTCTCTTGGCTCTTGTATGACAAATCTTCTAGTAAGTTCAGATTTTTTTCTTTATATGAATTCTTGAAAGTCTGACAATGCATCAAATATGCCTTTTTTTTTCCATTCAAGATTATACTTAGCTTTGCTGGGTATAATAATCCCAGTTCTTTTGCTTTTTGATATATAGTTCCAACATCTGTGGTCTTTTAGTGTCTCCACTTGTAGGTCTTGTGTGATTCTGACAGTGTCACCACTATAATATTCCTGTGAGTTTCCTTATAGGATCTCTTTGAGGTGGTGATAGGTGGATTTAGTATTTTTTTTTTGTGGCTAGGCAATGGGGTTAAGGGACTTGCCCAGGGTCACACAGATAGTGTTATGTGTCTGAGGCCAGATTTGAACTCAGGTCCTCCTGAATCCAGGTCTGGTGCTCTATCCACTGCACCACCTAGCTGCCCCTGGATTTTTTTTTCTATTTCTATTTTTCCCTCTTGTTCTAATGCTTCAGAACAATTTTCTTTAATTGTTTCTTGTATTATTTTATCAAGAGTTTTTTTAATCATAGCTTTCATGTAGTCAAATTATTCTTATGATTTCTCTTTTTGATCTATTTTCCAGATCAGTTGTTTTTTCTTATGAGATGTTTTACATGTTCTTCTATTTTTTTCATTCCATATATTTTGTTTTACTATTTATTAATCTCTTATAATTTTGCTGACTCCCACTTGCCCAATTCTTATATTCAAGGAATTGTTTTCTTCCTTAAGATTCTGGATCTCCTTTTCTATTTGATTGATTTGCTTTTCACAATCTTCTTGTTTTTCTTTCCCATTTTTGATAATTTATTTGTAGTTTTCAACATTCACTTCCATGAGATTTTGAGTTTTAAATTTCTAATTTTCTCCCCATCCCACTTCTTTCACCCCTCACAAGATGACGTACAATCTTATATAGGCTCTACGTATACATTCATGTTAAGTATATTTTCCCATTAGTCATGATATAAATAACAATTAGAACTAATGGGAGGAACCACAAGTATGAAGCAATAAAGCAAAACAACAGAGGAAAGGAAGAGCAAATAGTATGCATCCATATGCATTCAGAATCCATAGTTCTTTCTCTGGGTGTGGATAGCAATTTCCAAGGCACATCTTTTGGAGTTGTCTTAGATTCTTACATTATTGTGAAGAGCCAAGTCTATCAAAGTCAGTCATTGCACAATGTTCTCCTGGTTCTGCTCATTTCACTCTGCATCTGTTCATGTAAGTCTTTGCAACTTTTTTTAAGTCTGTCTACTTATCATTTCTTATAGAATGGTAGTATTCCATTACATTCATACGCCACAACTTATTCAGCCATTTGCCAACTGATGGCACCCCCTCAGTTTCCCATCCTTGGCCACCACAAAAAGAGCTGCGATATATATTTTTGTGCATGTGGGTACTTTTCCCTTTTTTATGATCTCTTTGGAATAAAGACCAAAAGTGGTATTGCTGGGTCAAAAGGTATGCACAATTTTATAGCCCTTTGGATATATTTTCACATTGCTCTCCAAAATGGTTGGATCATTTCACAACTCCATCAACAATGTATTAGTGTTGCAATGTTCCCACATCTTCTCTAACATTTGTTATTATCCTATATTGTCATGTTAGCCAAGCTGTGATGTGGTACCTCAGAGTCATTTTATTTTCACGTTGTGAAAAACTAAGTATGTTGCCCTTAATCCTATCCCACTCCCCATTTATTATATTCTCTCCTTTGATCCTGTCCCTCCTTAGAAGTGTTTGCTTCTGATAATCCTTTCCCCCGATATGCAACCCCCTGCTCTCTTGTCCTGTTCTCCTTCCCCATTTTCCTGTAGGGTAAGATAGATTTCCATACCCAATTGAGTGTGTATGTTATTCCCTCCTTAAGCCAAATCCAAAGAAAATAAGATTCACTCATTCCCTCTTACCTTCCCCCATTTCCCCCCCCCACTGTAAAAGTCTTTTCTTTTCTGTTTTGTGCAAGATAATTTGCCCCATTCTCCCTCTCCCTTTCTCTTTTCCAGGTCAGTTGTTTTTCCAATGAGATATTTCAATTTGTTGGCTTTTTTTCCCCATTCTTTTGGTTTTGTTTCACAGTGTTTTGATTTCTCATAAAGTCACTTGCTTCTGGTTACTCCATTCTAATTTTTAAGGAAGCATTTTCTTCAGTGGGCTTTTGAACTTCCTTTTCTGTTTGGCAAATTCTGCTTTTTAAGGCATGCTTCTCATTGGCTTTTTGGACCTCTTTTGCCATTTGGGTTAGGCTATTTTTTAAGGTGTTATTTTCTTCAGTATTTTTTTGGGTGTCCTTTAGCAAGCTGTTGACTTGTTTTTCATGATTTTCTTGCATCACTCATTTTTCCTCCTAGTTTTTCCTCTACTTCTCTTATTTGCTTCTAAAACTCCTTTTTGAACTCTTTTGTAGTCTGGGACCAATGCATATTTTTCTTGGAGGCTTTGGATATTGGAGCTTTGAGTTTGTTGTCTTCTTCTGGTTCCATCTTTTGATCTTTGTTGCCAAAGAAAGATTCTAAAGTCTGACTTTTTTTGAGAGGTTTCCTCCTGATCCCAGCAAATTACTTTAGTTTTAAACTTTTTTGTTAAGTTAGGGGTCTGCTTGCAGTATGGAGAATGTACTGCCCCAAACTTCTGGGGTTTTGTGCAACTATTTTCAGAGATACTTCTAGGGACTTATACGTTTTCAGTTCTTCCAAGGTGGTATGATCAGGGGCAAGGTATTTACTCCTTTCCTGGCCTGTGCTCTGGTCTATGAGTGTCCACAAGCACTCATTTCTACCTTGGAAATGTAAGGAGGATTTCTTCTTTGCCACCACTACAAGCTCCACCATGCCAGTGTTCCTTTTCGCCCTAGGACCACCACCCAGAACTATGACCCAGATCCAAGTACAGACAAAACAAGAGAATCCGGCCTCAGCAACAGCAAAGAGATCCCTGCAATTGTCTCTGATCACACACTTGATTCCCCCTCAGTTTTGGGCCAGAAGCTACAGAAGGAGCTGAGGCCCCTGGGCTGCGCCAGGACTGGGGCTGGGCCTGAGCTTCTCACTCACCCACAGTCACAGACTTTTCCTACTGACCTTTTAAGTTTTCTTTGGCATTCATGGATTGGAAGTCTGGAAAGCACCACAGCTACTCATGATTCTGAGGCCTGCTTTAGGTTCGCTGAGGCGTGTTTTGCCTGTGAGCCCACTCTGAACTGTATTTCTCTCCCAGCCCAGCGCAGTATACCTTTCCAGTCAACCATCCAAGTTGTCATGGCCTAGAAATTTGATTCACTCTATCTTTTTGTGGGTTCTAATGCTTTAGAATTTGTTTAGAGTCCTTTTTTCAAATGTATTTGGAGGGGTTTGGGGGAGAGCTCAAGCAAGTCGCTGCTTTTTCCTCACTCATTTTGATTTGCATTTCTCTAATCAGTAGTGATTTAGAACACTTTCTCATATGACTATAGATAGCTTTAATTTCTTCCTCTGAAAATTGTTCATATCCTTTGACCGTTTATCAATTGGGAAATGACTTATATTCTTATAAATTTGACTCGGTTCTCTATATATTATAGAAATGAGGCCTTGATCAGAGACACTGATTATAAAAATTCTTTCCCAGTTTTCTGCTTCCCTCCTGATCTTTTTGTTTTTCTTGGATTGTTATTGTTTAATTTTTTTCTCATTTTCTCTCACTTGATTTTTAAAGTCTTTTTTTTTAAGTTCTTCTAGGAATTCTTCTTGGGCAGCTGACAATTTGACATTACTCTTTGGGACAGAAGATGGTTTCTATACTTCAGTATCTTCCTCTGAAGACGAACCCTGGTCTTCTCTATTTCCCTGGTAACTCTCTATGGATGAATTTCTTTCTCCTTTGTCTATGCATTGTCGTTTTTTCGGTTGTTGTTGTTGGTGGTTTGTCTGTTTTGTTTTGTTTTGTTTTGTAGTAGCTTAATTTTGGTGATCACCTCTAGCCCTGTAATATGGGGTAGAGTGCTTCTGGCCTCAGAACTTCTTTCAGCTCTCTTCTCTGGCCTGGAACTGAAACCAAGACCTCCAGCCGCCTTGTAAGTGCTAACAGCCAGCATTGCTTCTGCACTCATTGAGTAGGTGCTGGTTCCTTTCGGCCCCCTGACAACAGCATCCCAGCTGTACAGTTGGATCCGGTATTCCTTGTTAGCAGAGATTCCATCCTCCTTTCCAAGCCCCACTCTCCTCACTGTCCCAGAGGTAAAAGTTCTTTTTACTGGGGCCAAGGCAGCCTGTCAATACAACTAACCCCATGGCTTGCTGCTTGTTGTTTAAGCAGTCCCAAGCCTGGAGGTGTTTACTCTTCACAGGGACCAAGTCTTGTCTTGAAATTTTTCTTTAGATCTTCGCCAGTTGTGGCAGAAGGATGATTGTTCTGCCCCTACTCTTATTTATTCTTACCAGCTCTTTGTTTGCCCTGAGGCTCTATTTTGTCTCTTTTGTGTGGTGGAAAACTTGAGAGCTTGGAATTTTCTGACCTACTCCACTATCTTCTAAGAATCCTCTCCCTGCCATGCTATTTCTTAGGCAATACCAGATTGTATTTATGATTGCTGCTTTGTAGTATAGTTTAAAATCTGGCACTTCCTTCTTTTGCTTTTTTTTAAATTGATTCCCTTGACAGTCTTGACATTTTGTTTATGACATTTGGGCAATGTGTTTTGCATGATTTCACATGTGAGAGGCAGGAGAGAATTTGAACCTCAGAATTAAAAAAAAAAGAATGTTAAAGGTAAACAAATAAAATATTTTTAAAATAAACTTTAAATAAATATTCAGATGTTTTGCTAATTGGTGCATATATGGTTAGAATTGATATTATTTAATTATCTATTTCACATTTTACAAAAAAAGTGAAGTTTACCTAATTATCTCTTTCAAATAGTTCTTTTTATGCTTTTGCTTTGTCTACAGTCATGATTGCTGCCTCTGCTTTCTTTTCCCTTAGTTGAAGCAAAATAGATACTGCTCCAGGCTCTTATTTTTACTCAGTGTGTTCCTTTTTGTTTAAGTTTGTTTCCTATAAACAACATATTGTTGGATTTTGGTTTTTAATCCATTCTGTTATCTGCTTCTGTTTTATGGGTGAGTTCATCCCATTCACAGTTATGGTTACTAATTGTGCATTTTTCTCCATCTTATTTTCTTCAGTTTTGCCTTCTCTTTCTCTTTTTTCTCCTGTACCTCTTCAAAAGTCTGTTTTGCTTCTGACTACTGCCTCTCTTAATCTTCTACCCCTCTTCTCACTTCCCTCCCCCTCATATCACCTATCCTTTAACACCTCCCCATATAATTTTGGGTAAGATAGATTTCTATACCCAGCTGAATGTGTGTACATATTCTTTCCTCTTCTAATCATTTCAAATGAGAGTGAGGTTCAAGAATTGCCTTAAATAATTGTTTTATTCCTCCACTGTTAAAATTCTTCCTTGACTACCTTTTTTTTGTGAAATTCTTTTCCCTTTTCTTCTTCACTCTTTGCCCTTCTCCCAGTGCATCCCTTTTCCTCACCCCTCATTTTTTTTAAATCAACACCTTATAATCAACTCACACCTATGATCTCTCTATGTATACTTTTTCTAACTGTTCCCCAGAGGTTGCAAGTGCAAATGCTCTTCTTTGCTATGGAACTTTGAGAATTACATTTGGTTAAAGAAACAAGGTTTTGCTTGAAAAAGCCCAAAACAATGATGCAGCTGCCACTGTCACATCTGCCTTTGAGGACTGTTGCTGGTGTTGCCACTGCGTGTACCTATGCCAGGGAACCAATCTCCTGTTGACCTAAGTTATCTTGGACTGAAAAAAAAAATTCTCCCTCTGACCTTTATTTGACTATGCCACACCGGTATTTGATCTAAGATACTATTTTATAAGTTGTTTCTAGGACAACATCGGTAGAGTTAAGCTGGTTTGCTTACTCTATTCAACCACATTGGCTCTGCCTGTTCTACTCATGATCTAGGGAGGTTAATTACAGGTTGCTCCCCTACAGCCCTGTTATAGGGAATTGTTTTCATTTTGATAGACCTCTAGAAGTCCTTCAACATGTTTATTGTTCAGTCATTTAGCCAAAATCAAATGAGTTAAGTGTATTTCGCTTGAACACTTCACATGACAGACAGAGATGTTATAATTCTAAGATCAAGGAAACATGATTTCAATTAGCTACCAGTGGATGGGGAGCAAAATAGAAATCAGTCTAGGGAACTGGGTAAATTGGTATATTCTAAACCTGTAGTCATTCACTTCAGAAATGCTTGAGCCCATGAATAGCAGATGCAGAACTTGTTTCAGATATATTTCAATGTACTTTGAAAACTCATCTTGCCACTATGTTAAAGAAACTGTGCACAGTCATTGTCTGACACCATACAAGGTGAACATTCATAGAACACAAAAGGTACTCAGTATACAACCAGAATAGACTATTGACTGCCATTTCATTAATACATATATATTCCTAGAGTGCACTGGAATAGATACATGCATAGCATTGCAAACAGTAGCAATAAATCTCTTCTCCTCTAGGACTCTGATGCAACCTCATGAAACAAAGAAAAAATGGGCACATTAAAGTTCAGAATTATTGTTCATCATTCCTTTAGGTTTATGGCACTTGAGTCCCTATGGTGTTGTCACACATAGTAAGCAGAACTCAAGTCTCTAACAGGCAATAACCATACCTCTCTGCCTAATTTAAGCTAGGATAAAAAGAAAGTGAGTAAATTTGAAAGCCAGTTTATACTGAGTGTGTCTCACCTGCTGTTCTGTTGCATCTCTGAAAGCACTAATAAATGAGGAGCCAATTATAACTGTATTTGAATATAATTGAGCGTCTATGTAATGTTGCCTCATTTTCCCCCAGTTAACATAAACTAGATTTTTATTTTTCCAAGACATTTTTATAAGCCAAGCAATCCACCAAAATTACATTATTAGTGTATGATGATGATATGTTATAAAAGAACTGAAGTATCCAAACTAATTCCCATGTCTATGAAGGAACATATCCTTCACAGGGATGTGAGGAACTGAAAAATGCTTTATTTCTTCCTTTTATTCAAAGAATCACTATATTATGTAATACCTATTACAGCCATTGGATAATCCATTCCTCTTAAAATTTAATTGGATTTGACAGAAGCACAAGTATTCATAACACATGAATCATTTTCTTTAAACATGGAGCTTGAGAAAAATCAATTTGTATGTCCCTCATTGGAATTTTTAAAAAAATTGAAATAATGCCCTATTTATAGTATGAAGGTAAATCTTGTTAATGTTCATAAGGTATTTCAAATAATGTGGCATCACTTATGGTCACTTTCACAAATCAGGTAAATTTCAAGCTGTGCCTGTTGCAGAGGAGAAAAAAAGTATTTTTTCTCCTCAGCAATGTGACTTTCATTTTTCATTTCAGTAATGACCCTATATGAAATATTTAAATCATTGTATTGTTTAACAAATATCTAAGTATGGTGTTATTGTCCACCTTAAATAGAAAATAATTTGGCAAAGGTATATAGAACCCAAATGACTTTTGTAAAGCCTAAATTGGACCTTATATGCCCTTAATTGTAAAGTTTCTAATATTCATTAATACATCTACTAAAATGAAAAGTAATAAAAAGGGAAGCAATCTTGTAATTTCCTCCATCAAGTTTTAGCCTAAGGCAATTTTAATAAATTTACTATATAAACCTCTGAAAATAAGGTCTTTGATAGAAGTGTGCCCATTACTTCTAACTAGACTAGTATAAATGGTGATGCACTAATAAAAACCAAAACTTTGCATTTTCTAACTGCTGAAATAAGTCAATTCAGATGAAATCACTGAAGCTGTTTCAATTTACTCTTTTACAACATGTTACTTAACAGAGCTGTTAGTGGGAATCAGTGTTAAGTCAAAATACATATCCTGATTTTAAAATAAGATAGGGGTACATGAAGCCAATTTGCTTTCTTTTCCAAGAAATACAAAACACTAATTCCTTGTCTAGCCATGATGTGATATAGTTTTTAACCTTGCACAATAAATGGCAATCCATCTAGTCACATTCTCAATAGACATGGTATGATTCAGTTGGTCAAAAATGAACCATTTATGGTAGCACCTTAGCCTGTTTGAAAAAAAAATTCAATTTGGATACATCCAATGCTGTGTTATTTTGATGACCTATTGATTGGTAATGACAAGAATGACTTGAGCAGCTTGACACATCCTTTCCTATTTCCAAGGCAATGTTATAAAGAAACCAGGAGCTGAAGGAAAATGTCAACTTCACTTTGAAATATATTGGATTTAAACTTATCCAAGAAAAATCAGCACTTTATGGTACAATTTCTGCATGATTAGTTCTTTATTATTACAATCTTTTGTGAGGTTCATGATTTTATTCTAATTTATGTGAATTTTCTTTATTACTCACAAAAAGATTATAATGATTTCCTTACAAATTAGAACCTAGAAAAAGTGGTGTAAAAATCATCCTCAACAAATCCTTGTATCTTAGGATGTCTTATAATAGACACCCACTCATTATTTCAGATCATCACTACCTTTAGCCTTGTTCTATTTAAAAGATTAAAAATTACTAGGTGGGTTATAGAGAAAGAAAGACAGTTACATAGTGATATTGATATAATAACTACAGGAATAAATATAAATAATATAATAGTAAATAAACATAAATAATAAACATAAATATAATAAATAGAGGAATAAACTGACACACCTTAGTGTGAGATGAAGTTTAGAAAATGATCATAAGTTTTTATTTTTGAACATCAGTTTTTGATAGTATGGTGAATCC